TGATTTCGTGATTGAAATCGATAAATACGAATTATGAAAATACAAAGAAATCCAAAACAATTGCATACACTATTTAATACTATTTAACGCACAAAATAATAGTTGAAAGAATTCTTTGTCTTTTCAAAAAAATCTCTTCGAATCATCCTCCGCAAAATTGATTTTCGCACAGAACTCTTCGAAATCTTGGCGAGTTAATGCAAAAGTTATATTCAAATATTTTTTATAATTAATTAATTATAATTAATTTTATTATAAATAATTTTTTATAAATAAATAATTTTATTATAATTAATTATAATTAATTCTTCCCGCTTAACGTTCCGTTAACATTCCATAGATTGATATTTCACACTGTGCGTCCCCCCCCCCCCTCCTCGGCTCGAAAATATGCTTTTCGATAGGAGGATACGATTAGTCCGAAAGTTGGCGGGAGAGCGAAATTGAAAGCGAGTTTCGAGCGCGAAAACTGATAGTCGGGGTATCTTGTTTATCGTGGTTTATCAGTCGGTGGTAAAGTAGCGACAGGCCGCGCCGTTTTAATTCGCGGCTCGGCGATAAAGGCGTTATTATTTAAAGCGTGGGAAATGAAGCGTTTTATCGAGGCCGTTTTCCACCACGCTCTCGCCACCGAAATTCCTTACATCGCTGAATATTTATCGCTCGTCCGAAGGGAAATTTAATTAAAGTCTCTGCCTCTTCCTGCTCGAGACGAGCTCCCGCCCGTTCCGCTTTAAATTCGCGATGAATTTTATTCCATCGGGAGGGAGGGATGGTGGGGGGAGGAAGAGGAAGATCTGTTTATCGCGTTGCGGACCTCGCTTTTCGTTTGGAAAATCGGCAGAGGTTTTTAAATAATTCAAAAGATTTTCGAAGCCAGTCCTCGGTCTTTGCCGTTCATTCGATGTAATTGTTAATAAATTATGGTTGGAGATTATTAGGGAGGAAATTAAGAGTTGAACGAAGATTTTTCGATGTTGATAGTTTAGATCTGGAAATATTAGAAATATTTTTTGTAGAAGGAAATTGGTGGAGTTGAAAGTTAAATGAAGATTTTCGAATCTTGTTCGATGTTAATAGTTTAGATTTGAGATTATTAAGAATTTTAGGTTAGAAAGAAATTAATAAAAGTTGAACGAAGATTTTCGAATCTTGTTCGATGTTGATAGTTTAGATTTGGGAATATTAGAAATTTTTTGTAGAAGGAAATTGGTGGAATTAAAAGTTGAACGAAGATTTTCGAATCTTGTTCGATGTTAATAGTTTAGATCTAAGGTTATTAAGAATTTTAGGTTAGAAAGAAATTAATAAAGTTAAAAGTTGAACGAAGATTTTCGAATCTTGTTCGATGTTTATAATTTCTAGAAGTTCAAAATTTTCGAATCTTATTAAATGTTAAATGATAGTTTAGATCTGAGATTATTAGAAATTTTTTGTTTTTTATTACAAAGTTTTTAATTAGAAAGAAATTGGTGGAGTTAAAAGTTGTTTGTTCGATGTTTAGATTTAAGGTTAAGAATTTAAGGTTGAGAATTTTAGGTTAGGAAGAAATTAATGAAGTTAAAAGTTGAACGATTTTTGAATTCGATGTTTATAGTTTAGATCTAAGAATATTAGAAATTTTTTGTAGAAGGAAATTGGTTCGAAGATTTTGTTCGAATCTTCGATGTTTATAGTTTAGATCTGAGATTATTAGAAATTTTTTGTAGAAGGAAATTGGTGGAATTAAAAGTTGAACGAAGATTTTCGAATCTCGTTCGATGTTTATAATTTCTAGAAGTTCAAAATTTTCGAATCTTATTAAATGTTAAATGATAGTTTAGATCTGAGATTATTAGAAATTTTTTGTTTTTTATTACAAAGTTTTTAATTAGAAAGAAATTGGTGGAGTTAAAAGTTGTTTGTTCGATGTTTAGATTTAAGGTTAAGAATTTAAGGTTAAGAATTTTAGGTTAGGAAGAAATTAATGAACTTAAAAGTTGAACGAAGATTTTCGAATTTTATTCAGTGTTGATAATTTAGATCTGAGATTATTAAAAACTTTAGAAGATCTAGTTGTTATTTTATAGTTTGAGATTATTATTAATATCGGAAGGAGAAATTAATGAAGTTAGAAATTGAACGATGAAGATTTTCGAATCTTATTTTTGTAATTGTTGATCTGAGATTATTAAAAATTTTTCCTACGAAAAAATTCTAGAAGTTGGAAGTTTAAATGGGGAAGAAAATTTTTCAAGTTAAAATTGGAAATTTACACGAGACGGATTCAAATTTATTTAATTTGACTTGTCTAATTAATTTTTTAATGAATGATCACTTAGTTAAAACCATTGGGTTAAGGATGATCGATTTATCGTGCTGCATTGTCTACTCAATTATATCAATGTCACTTATTTAGTTTCAATGTTAATAATTCAACTTGATCTTTGTCCAATTCTGTTCCAAGATTATTCGATTTTTATATTACGTTCATTCATTTCTAACATCAAACTCTACTTATACACATTCTTTCACTTCCATCCTTAAACTAAAAATAGTTCAATCTATTATATCCACTCGTATTAGCTTCGATCCATATCACCTACTATTATTATCCAAATCTTTTTTAATCGAGATCTGCACTATCTTATTATTATTCCACTCTCATTTCTCATCTCAATTTCGCTCATTCGAATTCGACCAACTCGTCTCGTTCAGATGTAGCAAGCTGAAACGAGCGAAAAAAAAAACTTCTTTATCCGTTTTTACACGACTCTGCCTCCAAATAATACTCCCGTTTCATATTTTTGTATTTCCGCTGAACAAGATCGTCTCCTCTTTCGGCCTCGAATTTCCTCCGCCGCCACGAAATAAGATTTCATCATCGCATCGCGGCGTTAAACCGATTTTCCACGCTTCTTTTATCCACGCTTTTGCATCCTGCGAAATCAGATTCCAATTCCTTCTGTATTTATCTTAAACGCTTCCTTTCGTTTCACGCATCATTTTTCGATGTTCGATGATTCTTTTTCCTCTTGAGAATTTAAGAAGAATCGATTAATTGCCCGTTCTTTCGAAATAGTTTTGAAATTAATTTTGTGGAGTGATTTTTAGATTTGCCGATTCGAATTTTTATTTTTGACTTCATTAATATGACGCCATTTAAAAAGAGTTTGATTATGTTAATCTTGTAAACAATAAAAATAATATAGGCAAATGTAAGCTAAATATTCTTTTTAATATGCTCAATCATCTTTGAAATGAATCAATGTAATGATTCATTCAATTTTTTTAATAAAATCCTTTGGCTAATAAAAACAAAAGTGTTTTTAATTACGATTAATTAATTAAATTATATGATAATTTAATAAACTAAAATATCTTCCTTGCTCTCTCAACATCATCTCTGATGATCGTTTTTTGTAGAGATTCTTACCTTTTTTGTAAATATCGAAAGGAAGACATTTTGGTGAAAGTAATAATTTCAACAATTAATATTAATGACAATAAAAATTTCATCGAGAATTGATTATTTTATTTCTCAATTTTCAAAATCTACTCGACTTTATATCGAGCATTCTCGATAATAAAAATTAAAAATTAAAAATTTTTTTAAACAAATGGCAATTTTAACGACGAGTTGGCGAACTTCACTCTCGTACTTTTCAAAGAAGAATTACGAAAGAAGTGGTAAATCTTATCTCACGTAGATCGTATTCTATCTAAAGAGGAACGTGAATTTCCAATGTCCTTTTTCCTATACCAGTCTCGCCCTCTATGGACACGGGATCTCCTAATAAGCGATACACGGCCGAGGAAGAATAAAACGCGTTCTCCCGCGAGAAATCCATATATGGGCGCAGGTCTAGGTCGTTGCCTCTCCGTTAAATCGCGTACAACACTTCCAAGTATACGTGAAAAAGAATTGGAATTGTCGAGTACGGCCTTCGTTCACGGCGAAAGGAAAACGATTGGACGAGAAAAAGGGGAAAGGACGATTAGGGTCTCTCTCTGTTCTGTCCAGTTTTTTGCCTGAGTATATATATATGTGTATATATGGTTAGTCAGGAACGTTGTTTCTCGTAGTTGAACGTGTACCGTAGATGTGTACGTACAGATGAACAGGAAAAATAAGCGAAACGATAAAAAAAAGTTGACATGGTTGGTTGTAGGTATTAGTCGAAAGCAAAATTGCGAGATTTTTGCTATATAACAGAGATTCCATATAACGATAATTATTAATCCAACGAACAATCGTATTCGAATTTTCGTCGAAATCCCTCGTATGGATTTGTTTTCTTATTAAAATCATCACTGATGATAATAAAATAAAGTAAAAATTACGTAAATGAGCAATATTGATTTAATTATGCAACTTTTTTTTTTTCGATCTAATTTTCTCGTGCAACGAGATCGAAAAGTATAACGTGGCGAGAAAATCGCGCGAGATTTTACCCTCGGTCGGTAAAGTTCGGATCTCATCGAGAATTCAATAGCAGATTTTCGTTTCGTAATCCCGATTACCGTTCAAATTAACTTTTTTTTTTCGCTTCAAACTCGGTTAGTTCGAAGAAATAAATGATCAATCGTGCGTCTGGGAAAGAATGGAGGCTTTTTCTCTCTCTCTCTTTCTCTTTTTATCCCTCGTATCTATTTCTCTCTAGTCTCTCTTAAAGTATCACGATTCCGTATTATCAAATGAGCTGCAGGGTTAACGAAGGGACCAGGCAGCACGTTTCGAGTGTAATTAATATAATGAACGGCTCGTTTGAACGTTAAAGTAACGCGTTACGTGAAATAATGGACAAGCCAGGAATTTTTCAAAAGGCTGGCGTAATTGCACGTGAAAACGAACATTAGGCCGGTTATTCTTCGTATCGTATACATATCTGTATATATCGCGTATTTTTCTGGCAACAATATTTATTCGTTTTAATAAGCGTATCCTCTCCTCCTTTTTTTTTTTTTTTTTTTTTTTTTAATTTTCATCATCATTGTGTCTTAATTGGCTTTTTTTCTACCGTTTTTTCTACGCGTTTGGCCGTCGCATATACCGGCCAGGTCATTAGTGGCGAATTTGGCTAGTGTTTCTCTCGCGTTGGATTTTGTAACCATGGTTGCCGTACGTTTCGGATAATTTAGGATAACACTTTATGCGTCTGGGCTTGGTTTATATTTTAGAATTATATTTCATGCTGACGGTTATTTTTATTTATTTCTTATTCCGTTTTTCATAATTTCGATTTATTTCTTCTTGTTTTAATTATTAGAGGGAAGTTGTTTGGCTCGAGTTTCGAAGTCGAAGGGATGGAAAGCAGGCGAAATTATATTTCTGTTATTTTGAGAAATTATTCCGTTACTTCTTCTCACCAATTCTTCTTCTTTACTTAATTTGTTAGTTCGAGGAGTGTTGATGAAGGATTTGAGATAAAAGGAAAAATTCTGTTCTTAATTCACTCTTTGGTGAGATTTAAAAGAAACTAAAGAAACGAAAGAAGAAAAAGAGAGATTCCAGATTTACTTTGTAAATTATGGTTTGATTTCTTTTTTTCCCCTCCTTTTTTTCTTTTGATAAAATTTGATCCAGTTGAGAAAAAAAAATATACATATTTTATATCTTCAAATTATTCTTACGTTTCTTTCCATACCTCTTTTGTTTGTAATTAAATTTTCAAAGAACAATTAAAAAAATCTCGAGAAAACTTCAACTGAAAATAAAAATATAAGAAAGAAAAATTCTATTTTATTCGATTAGATTATATCTTTGCTTCTTAAATAAAATACTTTTGATTCTCTCTGAAGATAAACGTAAAAAAAAAAAAAGACTTATATCCGAATTATTCCTTTTGATTAAATTTTACAAAGATTGAATTAAAAAATTGAGATTAAAAACAAAATAAGTAAAAAGATACGTAGATCTATCTTCGTTTCATCTTCCTCTTCCTTTTCAAACAACTCAGTTTTGAACAGAAAAGATGTAAAAACGGAATCGGATGAAAACAGTAAACCGAATCAACGTGATCGATACATTGCCAATCCCAGCTAATTCCTTTCATGCATATTTATGCGTATACCAGACTCCCGGTTAATGATAACGCACGGATGCCAATTATGCCCTTGCGCCGATTCACTCGCCCGTGGCTGATTGCCGCTTCTAGCCTGCAATCTTGTCGCCGATCCAATCCCCCGTTACGTAAATTCTTTACAAGTTTCCAACGATAACGATCGATCAGCATACGCTTCTCGCTCAATTCTCTTCAACCTTGTACGCCGTATACTTTCTCCCCATAATTTTCACCTCTTCCTTCTCAAATATCTTAACCCTTTGCTGTCGCCGCCGATACTTGAATTGGAATTAAAATACTTGTAATGGAATTAAAATAGCTAAAGCTATAAATAAGCATAAATTGTAAAAATGCATACATGTTTTTTTTCTTCAATGGTAAAGTTTTTCATGATATAGTTATATAGTAAAAATAACTCAGAGTTTCCTGTAGGTGATGATACGTTTTTTTATTATTTGGAATAGATTTGTGATTTTCTTCGTTTTCAAACTTGAAATGTACGATTATATTTTTTTAAAGGGTATAGTTTCGTTATTTTAAAATCGAGATGGATCCAAGTTTTTGAGAATTTAGGCGAATCGTATTGTGTTTTATTTTAATTTAATTATTATTTTAATTGTGATTTTCTTCGTTTTCAAAATGAATTATCTTGAAATGTACGATTATATTCTTTTTTTAAAAAGGGAATAGTTTCATTATTTTAAAATCGAGATGGATCCAAGTTTTTGAGAATTTAGGCGAATCGTGTTTTAATTATTATTTTAACAAATTTCAAATCATTTCACCGTTAAAATCGAGATGGATCCAAGTTTTTGAGAATTTAGGCGAATCGTGTTTTAATTATTATTTTAACAAATTTCAAATCATTTCACCGTTGTGAATATCTAACTACTAGGAATATATTATCTCGAGCGATTGTAACAAAAACGAGATCTCTGAATTTCGTTTCGAATAATTAATTGTAATTGAGAATAGAATTGTATAAAAAAAGTTGTACCACGAATTGCATCGTCTCCAACGAATTTTATGAAATTTCCTTACCTACCATCATCTACGTCGATCGTCGATTAATCATTGAAACGAAACGAAAACGAGTTTTCTGCATTTACGTATATGCTGTTACGTTTCAAAAAATATACACTCGATACGAAAGAAAAAAAAAAATATCATTTGCATAAAAATGCGCAGGACACAAGAATATTTGCATAAATATCCGCGGTACGTGCGTATCAGAGTCTTAGAGTCGTCGCGGGATAATCCGAGGGGGATCAAGCCGAGCGTCATCTTGGTTGGGATTGGATCGCGGGGAGAATCAAAAGTCACCAGGAATGGCGAAGGGGGGAGGTAAAGATAAGCAGGAGTGGAGGGTTGCTCGAGGCCAACCCCGCGATTCCCCCCTTGGGAACGACGTAGCCGGAAACGATTATCCGGAACAGGCCAGCTTGGCTTAGGGCCCTACAACGCCCACCTTCCACTCTTGTCAATTATCGTTACAAAGATCTCCTCCTTTCCCCTTCCCCCCCCCCCCCGTTTGCCAATCTAACGAGGGCGCGACCCGATTCTCCACGAATTTTTTTTCTTCCTTTTATTTATTATTTTTATTTTTATTTATTATTTTATTTTATTTTATATTATATTATATTATATTATTTTTATGTATTATCCGTTTATTTTTCCCGAATTTTTTTTAATTAATTTATTTTTTGAAGAGGATTCGGCTTTTAATTTTTAAGATTCGATTTTTAATTTTATAATCTTGATGGCACGTTCTCAAGATCTTATTTCGTAGTACTTTGGTGGTTTTATTTTTTTGGTTGGTTAAATTCAACGTGAACTTAGTGTTTATTTATTTTTATTGAGTATTTGGTTTTTTTGTTTTAAGTGTGCATTTAATTTGTTTTCATCAGTTCGATTGTATTTTTTGTTATTTCTGTATAAGTCGGTTCGTTCGTTCTTATATTCGTTGTTGGTTATTGGACAATGTTTAAATAATTTTAGATCATGCTATTTTTAAGTGTTTCAATTAATTTTATTCAGATTAATTGGTTAAGATCATGCTTAGAATGGCTTCATTGCGTCTATTTCATCAATCATTTACTTCCATTTCCAGATATTTATTTACGTTATTATTTTTATTCTATAGAATTTCCATAATTCCATCGAATCTCAGTTTCTTTAATTTTTTCAAATTCGAGAATTCAATTTTCAAATTCGATCTATAATTATTTTACATTTGCACGTATATCTGTAAAAGGATCACAAAAACACTCTTGAAGAATAATTAACTTCATTGAATCTCAATTTCTGTAATTTTTTAAATTTGAGAATTTAATTTTCAAATCTATCAATCTATAATTATTATTCCTATATTTACATGTATATCTGTAAAAGGATCACAAAAACACTCTTGAAAAATAATTAACTTCATCTCAATTTCTCTAATTTTTTCAAATTTGAGAATTCAATTTTCAAATCTATAATTATAATTCCTACATTTGCATGTATATCTGTAAATCACAAAAACAAGGATCACAAAAACAGTCTATCAAATTTCGAGGAATAATTAATTCCATCGAATCTCAATTTCTCTAATTTTTTTCAAAATTCGAAAATTCAATTTTCAAATTCGATCGATCCAACATCTATAATTCCTAAATTTGCGAATCTCAATTTCTCTAATTTTTTTCAAAATTTGATTCAATTTTCAAATTCGATCCAACATCTATAATTCTTAAATTTGCGAATCTCAATTTCTCAAATTTTTTTCAAAGTTTGATTCAATTTTCAAATTCGATCGATCCAACATTTATAATTCCTAAATTTGCGAATCTCAATTTCTCTAATTTTTTTCAAAATTTGATTCAATTTTCAAATTCGATCCAACATCTATAATTCTTAAATTTGCGAATCTCAATTTCTCTAATTTTTTTCAAAGTTTGATTCAATTTTCAAATTCGATCGATCCAACATCTATAATTCCTAAATTTGCGAATCTCAATTTCTCTAATTTTTTTTCAAAATTCGAGAATTCAATTTTGCAAATTCGACCAATCCAACCGATTCACGATCGTAATTTCTACATTCGTACGTATATCTGTAGAGGATCACGAGAACACTTGATAGAGGATCAATGTCTTCTCCAAGAGGTATCTGACCACGTAGACGAGAGAAATCCGCCGATTGTTGGCAAAACTCAACGAGAGACAGAGAAAGAGAGAAATATATATATATATATATATATATATATATATATATATATAGAGAGAGAGAGAGAGAAATATAGGTCCGCATTAAAATTCAAATATCACAGTGGAGGAAGAGAGCCCTCTCCGCTTTGAGCACGCCGGGCCAATATGAATACATTACAACGTGTTTGCATCGAGCCCCCGGCTCCATAATGCCTCCTATTAGAATCATGCTGGCGCATTTTAATACGAGAACACCCGGTCTTCCTTCGCGTTGCAAATTGCCGGCTCCCTTCCAAATATCGACGATCGAACTGCTCGAACGTTTTCAACGAATTGCTCTAAAGTTGTTCTCCTCGTGTCTGCCGGGGATTTGGTTGGGATGGATATCATTTGAAATCGAAATAAAGAATATATAGTGAGGAGGAATATATTTAACGAAGAGGAATAAATTATATCGTGCTTTTCTCCGACGGCTGTTGGAAGGAAGAAACGTTTTTCACGCGCGTTTTTGTTTCTGTGATATTTGTCACGTGTATTAATTCAAAACGAATTCGATGCAGTGGCGTAGAATTCAGAGAATGGAATGAATATGGTACAGAAATTTTTGTATTTCTCGTTACAGGTTAATTATGATTTATGTAGATAGTTTAATTTGTAAATGTAATTTTGTATTCATGTGGTTAAGATAATAATTGTATGTGTATAGGAATGAGTTAGATTAAATAATTTTGTACGATTTTGAATATTTGTAAATTATAGATCTTTTGCTGGTGCATAATTATTGTGACTATTGTGACTACGTAATGATTATTAAAAAAAATATAAGGTATTAAAATTTAATTATAGAATTGGTTATTTAGAT